GATATAAAATATAAGCTGCACACCCTAATATATATATATATATATATATATATATATATATATATATATATATATAAAGGAAATGTTTGACATTTTTAGCTGAAGTTCAAGTTAACTATTCGCCGTCTTAACATTTGATCAGTTAATTTAACGCTCGTATCAGTGAATTAACGTGACATTTTTTCTGTATATACCGACTAGGCATCTGAGTATTAACTGGAAATGTTTTAACACAGGCTGAAATATATGATTATGTTTCAATTGTATGACGTATTCCTAAACTGGGTCGAAAAGTCAACAAGGTCTTATGGTATCATTATATAGAGCTTGGTCCTCGTGTATTAGTGGTACTAATGAATCGACTCTGAAACCATGTCCAAACCCAGGATCATCATCAGAATGTTGTGTTAATTTAGTTGAGTGTCCGACTGTTATTTTCGCATATAAAATTATATATGAATCGGGTATATACAGTCAGAACAACTTTCGTTTATGCAGATTTGACTGAAGCACAACGATAGTTCTTTCCTCCGACCTTTCCTACTCCTCCTCCTCCTCCTCATCATCATCATCAACATCACCATAAATGGGTGTGGTCATAGGGTCGCAGTGCAGCTGAACACATGACAAATTTCCTCTACAATTTGGTTTGAAACCCGAAGTTATTCATTCATGCGTAGCGTGTCTTGGGCTATTTGACCTGGCGGGGACAATCTTCCTCCAAGTTAAAGTATAGCCGATGTCCTCCAACTCCAAGTCTGTCCTTGATCATAAATAAGCGGTCGTTGATTCCATCAGTGGAGATTTCTACCCTGGCCGTTGACTTCAGTCTCGGAAGCCCTCCGCCTTGCTATGCAGCGTCATTTCCGCACTGGTTACATCCATAGCTAAGGAGCTCAATTTTCCCCATCTTGCTAGATGGTCGTTTAACATATAATTCACCCTTTGAGAGATTTATTTATTTAATTATCTGTCCATTTCACATAAAATTGCTATTTGATAGAAATCATTATTTCACAAAGAATCAGTATAATTCTGATTTGGTTGTGTATCTCCATATTTATCTCACAAAAAATAAGGAACTTCCTCTGTTTAGTTCAATTTCATTAGGCCAAAAGTATAAATGCACAACCTTTCAATTATGTTATGATAAACGTATAAATTCACAACCAGTCCAGATAATAATCGCAAATCTCAGTAAGTATATATATAAATAAACTCCGAATATTTAGGCCAACACTGTTTGCACAAAACAACAAAATTACTATTTAAAAAAAAAAGTTGTTTTCTGTAAGATCTATTTACATTTGTATTATATATATATATATATATATATATATATATATATATATATATATATATATATATAATATAAATTTTTTTTACCTGACATCAGAAGATATTTACAAGCCAATTCTAAATTGTAGATATAAAGACCTGTGAATGTAAGGTTATGCAGGTTATCTTACTGAAGAAGGCCGATTATATTTTCTCAAACAAAAGATTTACTTGTGTGTATTACAGAACGTACAAATACATGGAATCCAGAAAGGTCAAAGTTTATCAAATTTGTTTATTTGATATTCTTTATTTGTTTTCTTTTGTAATTGTTTAGCTTATGCAGGAATTTCCTACATATTTGGAAAAAAAAAAGAATCATTTACAGACAGCGATGGCTAAATTACGCAAAAACGAAAATAACACTGATATCTCATTTCAACAGATATATTTATCAAAATGACACAAAAATGTCTTGAAATAATAAAGAGTAAATTTGTTTAACAAAATCACTATTCGCTTCTACCACCACCACCACCAGACGACTTCGGAATCTCCTGCAACTCTTCTGGACGGTCTCTTTGTTTAAATTGGTGAATGCTGCCATAATCCTTGCCTTTAGTTGATCTTTGGTGCTACTAGGAGTTTTGTTGGTCTCTCAATCAACTACGCCTCAAACATAATAATGAAAGGATGTTGCAGTCTGGGGAGTTAGGTGGCCAGATGTAAGGGGTGATATAACCGCAGAAATTGTCTGACAGTTATGATTGTGTTCACCTGCTTGTTTGGCATGGTGCAGTGTCTTGTTGCCAGGCACAGAGTTTTCCAGCAACCATACTCTTGACTCAGGCCAACACGACTTCCTCAAGGCCTCTGTGTTGAGTCGGGTCCTGTGAGACGATGAATGGGGAGGCATAACGTCGTCAACACTAGTGATCACTCCAAACACATTCGTAATCACCATTAGATTCATCCAACCCTTTTCTGAAAACTCATCACTGTCCTCAGATTGACACCCAAACACTATAATGTTCGTAATGGAGCTTCCGATGCGAATACCAAGTAGCACAGCATACTGTTTCCAAATTTCTGGCGGAATGAATTCCGTCATGGGGCTCTTTTTCTCACAGACGGTGCCCAACTTAACCTACTATACTGTGCAGTCGACAAAATCAAAAACAAACATAGCGCATGCGCAAAAATGAAAATATAAAATGGCGACAATTTGCACCCTGTATATGACTTAAAATACAGAAAGGTTTTCTATCTTTATTACATAATTATCAGTATAATTGTGTATTCTATTATAAGACAATGATTCCAGTTTTGGTCAGTAGAATTCTTCGAAGCATTTTCCCGCTATCTTGTATGTATTGAATATTGTTTATTTTGTTTTCTTTTGTTTTGAGTGTTAGGATTATACAAAAATGACCTCGGTAAAGAATGCGTGTGCTATGTGAACCTGTTTTGGTAAGCAAAACTGGCGTCGTGGAATCGACCTCGTCAATAACACCATTGTAGTTAATGGAAATCGGTAAAATGGATCCGTACTTTCGAAAAAAGGATTGGTTACGAGGACAGAGTCGGTCGGGCCTTGTCCACGCACAGTAAGGAACCGGTTAGGTGTCGTAGCATTCGCGCCTTATTACCCTGGAAGAAAAAAATATATGCATTTATAATGTAATCATTTTTGTGACCTTCTAATATATTTATGACATTTTCAGTTTAACTGTGTATTCTATCATTAGAGAACGATTCAAATTTTATCAGCTGGATTCTTTGAGCTATTTTTTCGTTATTTTGAATATATGGGAACTGCTGACTAGAATAAGAGAAATGCTTGGAGTGCAATGAACGGTAGTCAATTTTACAAGTTCACCAAATATACAGGATAGAGAAGAAAAGTTTATTCACAAATACGAACCCCAAAAGTGGTTAGAAATATTAAAAAAAGTAAATAAAAAAATCAATAAGGAAATTTCGTTGGTTTTTAATCAAACGTGCATAAATGAAAGGTTACTGTCCAAACAATATATATATATATATATATATATATATATATATAGAGAGAGAGAGAGAGAGATAATATTATACCAGTTTGTCGTTCAACTGCGGTCCGTTAGAAGGAAAAAGTACTTATGGCTTATTGGCGACGTCGTGGCCCAAGATAACAAAATAGACGGTTTTACTTTCAAAACAATTGTGTGTGTATGTGTATATTTGTGCATTTGCCACTAAAACACACACACACACACACACATATATATATATATATATATACATACATGCACATGCATATACACATGTATTTGCCATATATTTTTTGAATGTTCCTAATTCATTGGCATATTAGTTGAACGTGTGAACATGCCTACACACTCATACTTCACATTCGCACATTTTAATTGCATCTCTCTCACATAAAATTAGTATAAAGATGTTTCTATACAAAAACGCACACCTCAATAAGCTACAGTACTGTCCAAAATTCTTCGCTACGTTGTAACATTGGAATATTTATGATTCGTACCACCTTTTCAGTTATTGTTTCGCCTTTCCCACAGATGTTAGAGTCATTTATGTACTTTTTTAGCCTATTTTACTTGTGCGGGACCTGAGTGGAAGATGAAGATGTAATCGACTTCATTAGGGTTTAGTATCTATATATAAAATTCTGTAACTTCCGTATGTCCTTCCCTCCGTCGCACCCTCTAAAATAGTCGAATTAAGTGGGCTACAAAGTACAATTGGTTTTACTACAGTGCGTAGCTTCGTACTGTAAATTTTCCTTAATTTCTTTGGAAAAATTAAGTTTTATTATTTAACATATAAAATACTCTCACTATTTAAAAAAAAACAATTTAATGATTAAAATAACATACTTATTTATTAAAAAAATGTATTATTTTTTGTATATATTTTCTTTAAGTTTTAATATACAAGAATCCAGTTTCCTGTTCACCCTGCGTTTGGGAGAACTATAAACATATCACAAGGCCAAACGCTTGAAAAGGTTGGGGTTTGGCTCCAGAAAGAAATATTTACGCATGGCCAGTTATATGTTGCATGCTCAAGTGTAAGAAATCCTAAGAATTTATTCTTGGCTGTTAAAAATGAAAAAAAAAAGAAATTTTCTTTAAAAATATTGTTTACCTATCTTGTCCTAAAATTAAAGAAATTATTAAACCGCGAAATAGGGTTTTTGTCAAAGTATTTTTCCAAACAAATCAGTTTATACAAATTTCATCGATTGGTTTACGAAATTGAACGAAACGTAGAGTTTTGTAAATCTCGACAAATAATGTTAGCGATAACTTCAACAATACTAAATACTGTGAGGATTTCAACACGCGTTGATCAATCTTTATTATCCCGAACCTCACGGCAAGACTCACAATGCCAGTCTTTATATTCAATCTTTATTATCCCGAACCTCACGGCAAGACTCACAATGCCAGTCTGTATATATTTCAAGAGAAGAATGTCAGAAAATCACACAGTTTAAATTGTTCAAATTTTGCCCGTCTTCGAATATTCGAGATAAATTTCTTTTCAGTTATTATTAATTTTTTTATCGGTATTTCTTTCGTTAAATTTCTGTTGAATTTGATCTCAACACCCTCCCCAGGTCGTTCTTCTACGATCTTTAAGTGGCTCGAAACTAATAAGCAGACATCACGATTTGAGCGCATTCCCAGCTGTTGCAAATCTTCAATGACTTACAGCTATATCACGTTGAAACACCAGTTCGTGTACGACCACCGAAGTTAATCAACATTGAGCCTGATAAGTACCTAGATGAGTGACTGATTGGCAATACCAGGTGCTGTAAACTTGGATGTGCGGGTGGTGAAATCGATAACGGATCAAAATTGGAAATCGGAGAGCCGAGTTTTAAAACCGTTGGCTTCGTTATATTCACTTGCACGCAAATACACTTGAGAAACATGAATTCACTTCTTCTCCCCAAGCTATGGGTTAAATAGTCATAGGCAAAATAATTTTTATTTCTCCCCCCAAATGTATCATTAATTCATTATTATTTAAAAAAAAATAATCTAAAATATTTTCTTTTGCTTTATAACCTGCTGCAAAAGAGATGATAAACCTTAGAAAATCAATCAATCAATTAATCAAATCTTCAATGTGATCGAATGGTGTGGTGCACCCAGTGAGGATCAAACTCACTACTTAGTCGTAATTGATGTAGCAAGTCTAGCAGTTAATTATTTAGCAAGTCGATGTAATGGTTAGCAACCATCAACTCACGTCAAAGTAGTCACCTCTTGGCGGTGTAATGGTTAGCAAGCTTGTCTCACTAGAAGAATTACGACTGAGTAGTGAGTTCGATACTCACTATTTGCCCCATACTTTCGGCCTTGTCCCACATGTAAGCTACGCTTGGAAAATCATATTAGCTGGGTTCTGTCACTCAGCTCTTAGCTGTTGTCGAACACTCTGCCTTCGGTCAGGGAGAGGAACACGTACGAGGCGATGCCGAAGGGCAGAGTCTCGTCCGGGGAGATCGACAGACCCGAACCCGTTTATGCGGGGTTTATGGGGAGTTTAGGCTCGGATTGCCTCACATTCAATTCGGCCTTGTACCACATCCTATCCGGTGGTCCGTTGGTAAATATTATTAGCTCCCGTCAAAGTACTCTCAGGTGATTTTCCAACCGTAGTTTCGATGTATATATGTAAACGTATAGAGCATCGATTGAGGATTGAACTCACTATCCAGTCGTAAGTGTTTTAGTACGACATGCTTATTTACCATAACACCATGTCGAGGTACTCAAACCGCTCACACATATGAAATTAACTTTCAACCAATACTTAAGAATACAAATCTGTAGGAATTCTGTAGTCCTGTCAACACTCAGAGTGATATATAAGGTTCTTTTCTAAGCGTAGTTTAGATGTGGCACAAAACCGAAAGTATGGGAGACGCAGTGAGGATTGAACTCACAACTCAGAGGTAATTATTCTAGCTAACTAACCATTACATCACGTCTAGGTATTCAACTTCAGGTGCCATACGAAACGAAATACTTGATGTCGCGATGTGGAGGGCGTTCGATCTTCACTGAAAACCTCAGACATCTGGCCTTGTGCCCTATTATTTTCTACTTCATAACTCACTGAGAAATCTTCACTTTTGACCTATAAAAATAAATAAAAAGTAGGATTTGATTGGTAAAACGTCACTGTTTTAGTAAGTTCAATTCTCATTTGTTTCTCTCCATTTGGCGCTTTGTATTGTAAGCTTATAATAAGTATGTATCAATAGTGTTGTGGTTAAAGAGAATGATTCAGTAAAGATTATTACTATAGTGAATACGATCCTCACTGTGAGTCTTACCCTTTTAGAATCTTGTTCTACAAGTGTTTGATTTGGTTTTTACGGTTTATCAACCTTCTGCAGGTTATTTAATAACAGAAACTAGTTTTAAATTGTAAGAGGATTTGGAGATAATAATGGGTAAAGAAGAGGTGGATTCAACCTTTGACCACAAGTTGTTTCACGTAAGTAAACATAACGATCCTGACGGGAATTGAAACTCCGTTATCTATAACGCCACCTGCACATTCAAGCTCACTGTACCTGGTATTGAATAGGTACGACGTTTCAACGTGATATGGCCGGAAGCCTTATATATATATATATATATGTATAAGCCTTGAAAACTGTAAACCGTTTACACACACACACACACACACACACACACACACACACACATATATATATATATATATATATATATACTAATTTAACATGTCTTGTCAACCATCTTAAGTTGAGCGTATAATAGACTTTACCTTTGAAACTGAAATCAGTAAACGCAGTAATTTAGTCAAATATATCTTGGTTGTAGATTGACTTGTCACTTTTCCATATATAGTGTGATTTGTTCAATCAGCACATCACAAAAATATATATATATATATATATATATATATATATATATATATATATATATAAAAATCATTTCACGCCAAGCAATGCAGTATAGTCACTAAGACGCAAGTTCGGGAGAAGAAACTATTTGCATAGAACTTACAATTACCAATAATATATTTATAGAAAAGAAACAAGGAAGCTACGTTTGAGTGGTGGGAAAGTGACTGAAGCCGAGATGAAAGGTCAGACTCAGCAATATTGCAGATTCTTTTTTGTATTTCATAGCGAGTTTTACGGCAATAAAATATCGATAGAAAGTCCCCTATCACGTATTTCATAGACACATATTCGAACTTAACAACTTTAGCAAAATATTGCAACAATAATCATAAATAAGAATTCAGGAGGTGCGAATGAAAAGATCAGAAATTTACGACTTTTCATTTCACTAAAGCAGACGTTAAACACTTATTATTTAGTTGTTATTTATTTATTTTTATAACTGAAACCAAGTAGCATTTATGATATGTCATTTCCGTCTTTTCACGCGGTCAAGACGGAATAGTCCATTATTTATGGGGTATTGGTAGGGCGTCAGAGTCATACAAACGAACTAAAGAAGCGAGGGAGAAAAAGAATTATTATATGATAATAATAAAAGTACAAAAGACTTATCTTTCGAGTTCAAGTTTCACAGATACATCGCTCGTTAAGGGTGGATAATTAGAGTTATCTTACCCATATAAGCGATGTCGGAAGATAATCTTTTTTTAACCTTTATTTCTCACTCTCTCTCTCTCTCTCTCTCTCTCTCTCTCTATCTATCTATCTATCTATCTATCTATCTATGCATTTTTGTGTGTGTGAAAAAGAATAACTAAAGCCTGAATCAAAAAATCTCTGCAAACAAATGAGTAAGCAACACAGAAAACAAAAAAAAGTATAATTAGAGAAGCAAAAACTGCCAGAAAAAAATCTAAAAGGAAAAAAAGGTTAATAGTAAAAGACAAGAAAAACAACTAAGAAACCAAGTAAAACCGAATAAATAAACGAATAAGTAAAAAAATGGGTGAATTAAAAAGCAAAACAGCAATAAAAAATGGCCGGAAATAAGAGCGACAAAATGAATGACGAGAGTGAAAGAAGAGAGAGAGAGAGAGAGAGAGAGAGAGAGAGAGAGAGAGAGAGAGAGAGAGAATGAGAAGAGGGAGAGAGAGAAAAGAGAGGAAAGTGATAAATAGAGAACGGAATCCGGATATAGAAGAAAAGGAAAAAGTGAATTTAGAAAGAGGGGGAATTAATTGGAAATTAGTTGAGTAAGCAGCGGTGTAAGAGATTGCATTCATAAAAGAAATTAGCCGAGTTGTTTTTGTCATTAAAGGAGGCAATTATAGTGAAGAGCACAACCGAGTTGATCTGGAAGTGTCCGAAAAAGAGAATTTTTGAGGGGGAGTGGGGAGAAGCTCAAAGTTTAAGAAAAGAAGTGGGAGTAGGAAAAGACAATGAAGAAAATAGACAGAAGTTGGGTTGCGGGTGGTAGGGACGACAATGGCAAGAATAAAGTCATTTGAATAGCCAAATATTTTTGACAATGAGAAAATGTAAAACAACCGATAGTTATTTTCTAAGACACCAATTAGTTTATTTATCATCGGTGTTCACACACACACACACACACACACACACACACACACACACACATATATATTTATTTAAGCATTTCACTCAAAGCAAGGCAATAAAGCCACTAAAACGCAAGGTGTTAGTGAGTGTGAGATAATATAAGAAAAAAATTATTAAGGTGAGAGAACGATACAAGAAAAGGAATGTATTTAAATTCTTGGTGATCAAAGTTTGCTAGAAAACAAGACGCTGGAAAAGAGTAGAAAAGCGTTCTACAAGCGAGAAGTGCCAGAAAAGAAATTGTTAGCTTAGAATTTACGATTAAATTTTAAATCAAAATGATGAAACCTTGTCACCAATCAAGTCAGTCAGTCTTGTGCCATGCGGGATACACGCTTAGGCGATCATGTATCTTTCGATACATAACTGGCGAAGCAGATTTTGCCATCCAAGGTTATGTCCTGTTATTTATCCATAACTGAGGGCAGAAGAATAGGATTCATACCTTTCCCAAGGGTATTAGCACGTAAATGAATGTAATGGATTCAATTGGAATTTGAACTCGGCTCTTCGATTTCTCAATCTGAGACAATATCCATTAATCAACCGTGCCTAGTACTGCGCTTAAATTTATAAAGTCTAGGTACCATAGAAGAAACATTCATCAGGACAATTACCAATGAAAAGGCACAGGGAAGCTACGCTATGAAAGGCCAGCACCAATACCAGTGAAAATTCTTTGCATTTTATCCAGGGTCTCTAAATACATAGAAGAAGCAACAGGCCAAATGTGGCGGCAATATTCAATGTATTACTACTATATATATTATTAGAAATCTTTTGCGAGTGCAGCCGTCTGCCAGGGCCGTTAACTAAACTCTTGTTTATACTACAATTATGCAATACCTTCGAGTTTCTTGGAGAGAAAGCACATAATATGGCGTGGTCAATTTTCCAAACAACAGCAATACGCCGAAAACTACAGTGGCTTAATTGCGAGCACAACCATCGACAGTTTCCGAACTGTTTCTATTAGACTGGGGCTTCCTAGCCACATTGCACATCAGAAAACTTCTGATGACCCGATCATGTAGTAAATAGTCTGAGTTATATGGTGCCAGTAGCAGACGCAGAGTAACCTGACAAAATGTTTGAGAATATTAAATCAGAAAATGCCTGTCCGTTCCGAAAGTGGAACTTCTAATGTTTCACTCAAAACCTTGGGTCAACCCGTGGTCTAGTTTTTAGACAATTTCCAAAGCTGCCTAAAAACATCAGGCCGATAAGATCAGGAAGTCACATTCATG